TTTTAGTCAAAAAATCGGCTTGAGCTAGTCGATAAACTAGAAGACCGTATTGGTGTTATTTTCTGGAAGAGAAGTTTAGTCACTCTGAAGGTTTTGGGCTCCTCTTCTCAGGAGTAGCCATGATCGCACATTTTCTACCTCATATTGACTAGATACTATGCGAATAATGGTAACATGGTGGTGGCTATTTTGTCTTGGAATTCAATATCAGAAAACTATCTCATAGTGTAAGGAAAGTCTGGATAGTTTTCCAAGAAAATTTTAGCTGTTTCTGCCTAACTTTAAAATATCTTGCTGGGAAAATTGATAGATTTTACTTTTAGACTTTATTTTATGATACAAAATGAAATCTTCGTTGTTTGGCAAAACATTTGTACTTGAACTTGGTCCTGATATTCGATTTAAAGAAAAAAATTTATTAATTAAATATCTACGTGAACAAAATGCTAATATTTCATATACGCTAACAGCTCGTGTAAGACTTCATTTATTCTGTTATTGAAACGTAGTTTTAGACCTTGTATGAAATTTTTTAGACTGATTACGTGTTAGTAAAAAATGATATTGATACATATAAAACACGACGAGCAAGACAATTAGGAATCTTATTGTTAAATGTTGAATATATTTATGAATATCAGCGTCATCCAGACAAAATAATTGATCCAAATTTGTATCTGATCACATCGGCTGAAAATAAAGAAAATTTTAAAAGTGGAAAAATATCGCTTGAAGGTAGTAAAAACAGATGTATTATAGAAAATCAAAAGCATTTCTTTCTTTTATCTATATGAGAAGAAGGACTTAAATAGGCATTCAACAATCCCAAGCTAGATCGCTGCTGATCGGCATCGAACGGTTTGTTACCGAACATGTTCGCTGCCGATCCGCGAGCCCTAGCTTGCAATAGTTGCATACCTAATCTGGACTAAAGACAAATGGAATGAAACGTAGGTTTTTGAAGGAACTACCAGTGAGAAGATAGATTAACTAAAGGACAATGTAAGTGAATGTGCGTTATATCGGATCGCTACCGAACACGTTCACGGTTTAAAAGAAATAGTTTGTCAAAGCTAAGAACATGAAAGCGAAGGAACACATGAAAGAAATATTTGTAAAACAGCAAACATGGTGAAGCTTACACCAAACGAAGGAGCCGCCATGATTACGCCGTAGCCGTAGGTAGTCATGTAAAGAACAGGTTGAATTAGAACCGCAACTTTATGTTTGCTTTATTCCAGGAAGTTGAAAGTACCTTTAGTTTCCATTATATCTGATTTACTCTCTAACTGAAGGATACTTAACTAATATGGCTTCTGTAGCAGATCGATTTACTTTGTTTTTATACAAAAATGCTTTTCCTCACTGTGCCAATAAAGTAGACAAAAAGTTGCAGCCCTACATTCTAAAAAAAAGTCCTATAGAAAAATCCTATAGGATTTCTATTTTTTTCGTTCTGTATATGTTTTATTTCTGTTTCTATACGAGAACACAATCACCGACGTATTTTGGAGTAACTCTAATACAAATATAACTCTACTCTAGAAAATGAAAGATTCTTTTAGGCTCAAATTGCATCGAAACTCGCTACTGTTCAACGACGTGTGGATCAGTACTCACAAGTCTTGGGCTTATCCTAGCTCAGAATCACCTGATTTTGGGTGGCTGGGATCAGAGAATAATCAAACAAATAAAAATAATAAACC